AGAGTATGACACTTTAAAAAAAATATTGTTTAAAAAAAGCATCTAAGTTAAAACGTAGAAATGATTAAAATAATATTCACATTATACAAATTTTAATTCTTTATGTTCTGGCAAGAAAAGAGAATGCAGAAATTGTATATTTTTGTTAGAAGAATTAAAAATTGAACATGTTATCGCCATAGTAATAATGAATAGTTAAATAAAATTTCAGATTAATACGTAATGATGAATTTCGAGTGTGTTGGTTAGAAATAACATTATCGATTGCGCAACATAGACTTCAGAAAAAGATGTAATACAGATATGTTTCTTGGAATTAGAGAGGAGAAATTACATGGTTCTAACAGAGTAATTTTATCGTGTCCTATATCCCATATTACATCATCATGTACAGTACAGTGCTACACGTTGTTTATTAATTATAAAAATCACTGTAGGAAATATTGGTGTATTTCGTATTAGGAATGCAATTAAATGGAGAAAATAAATCTTATAAAATCTGTAATTATTAACTTATAAAGTAAATTTATAGGTAATTATCGCAAAATGTTGCGAAATATTTTAAAGTACAAAAGATATGATAATCAGATTTAAAATAAATGTATTTTATCGGATTATTTCTTAAATTTCATAAGTGAATTAGATTTTAAATAAATTGATCATGCATATAATAAAGTCAAAATGGATGAAGTAAGCGGATATAAGTAATAATTTACATAGATACTCGCTGATTATTGGTTATAATGCAGAATTACCCATTTACTTTAATTATTATTAAAGTAAATAATAGTTTATTAAAAAATAGTAAACTTTATTTAATATAATTATATTCTTTTTTATCTGTAGAATATGTATGTTGAAGCTTACGCTTTTTAAAATCATTTTAATGAAAAATGAACTTTATTTATTTAATTGGATTATTAATAAAATGTTATATGATCCTTAGAAATCGTATATAGTTTCTTCCAATAACTAAACTAAATTCAACGTCGAATCTTTCCAGTTGCTGCACAACATAACAATAATAATAAAAGGAATCATATAGCCTAATATATAAAAATATATGTAGGAATATATAATTTTTTTGTTATTTTTATAAATAACATATATATATATATATTCAAATTAAGCCTACACTGTCAATAATAAAAACATAATATACATGAAATATTCATTATCGACCAATTTACATACTAAATAGCAAATTCACAATATTTCTTATGATTTTTTTAAGGTTAAAATTATCTCTACATAAACATTTTTTCATACCCAATTTAATAAGTTTATCAATAAATTAAAACAACAAATAAAAATGAAAATTTCAAAGATGAGCGTTATAACTAGTAGAAGTTCTATCAAAAATTTTTCTGTTTTATTATAGTTAAGTGACATTAAAATTGCTTTATTTTACACAGATGTAACAAAAAACTCTATGAATTTTAAAAAATAGTAAGGGTTTTTCTTAATTTTTGGCTTAGATTAGGTTAAAGTTGAACTTCCTTTTATTTCTCCCCATCTGTCTTCACCCTCTATGACATCTCCCTAACAATGCAAAGAATTCTGGTTAAAATTCGATTTGGTCTTTTGTTATTTTTCATAAACAGTTCGGGTCGAATGTCATTCTTATTTCTCTACGATCTTATTGCAGACGGTGTGAGTTAGAATACGGGTGAAGTAACCACAATGGACAAAATCGAGATAGGATATAAAGCCTGTAGGGAGCTAGTGTCTCGCATCAACAAATTTAAATGTAATCGATACCTATCTCATAATTCTTTTTTCACATATATTATTTAAGAGAAACTTTCCAATCGAATAGAATAGCACGTCTCGAAAGGATATTTTTATGTATTATCTATGTAGAAAATTAACCAAAAGTTTCATTTTTCCATTTTTATCTTCGACTAGCACTCCTATTTATCTTATTTTCTTTTTAAATATCTGTTTCGTCATAAAATTGATATAATAACATTATTCTTTGCATGAAATTATCTCAATGTTTTATGTTATCAATCCATTAAACTAAACTTATTAAAAAATTTTCCTGTAAAGAGGAGGAATACGGAGCAGAAAATGGATACAATACCGAGAGAAAGACAAAATTATAACATGAAATGTAGATAGATAATATTATAGAATATAATAATAGGTTTAATATAGTTGATAGTTTTACATGGATAAAGTAAAAAGATTTTGTAGACTATCTGAAGAGAGTTTGAATACTTGAAGTACTCATTCAAAGAAAAGTTTTGATGTGAAGAATGGCAAAATAAACACAAATCAGAAGTTATTACTATTGATTTGGATGGATATCTAGTAGAGAGAAATTGTTTAACTCTCAATTGCCTAATGTTAAATTTCAAATTATAATTGAAGTTAGTATATAATAGTAATGTTCAGCTATGAAAAATACTTTTTCGTTTGTTATAGAAAGTTCTTATCCGTAATTGTTTATTCTTATACGATTTTCTTTAAGATGAGATTAGAGTTTAAACTTCAAGCTATATTTAATAATAGATAGATATTTATTGTTTCTTCAAATAATTGAAGATAGCATCGACAGAAAGAAATCGAGTAATGTTTATTATAAGGTTTTAAAAAGGTCATCTCTGAATTTAATTTATTCTTGTTATTATTAACAAGAAAATAACCACATTTTAAGTAATTTGAAAAAAATTTATAGGCCTATAAATTCCCACTGTTTGTCTGTCCTTAATTTCGAGAATGGTCTTAGAAAGACGAAAGTCGAGACCATATTTAGAAAGCTTAGGGAAAGAGGCTCTGATTAACTATATAAGAACTTCCGATCTAGACCGGAAGTTAAAATTAAATTTTGATATAAATTTAATTTCAATTAAAAAGTTTTCTCCAGAAAGTAGTTACATAGATGACTGGCATGACTCTGTTATTATCAGGAAAAGTATAATGTTCAGTGGCAAGTCATGACTAATTTGAGGTGGAGAGCATATATTTTAAATTAAATTAATTAAAAATATGATTAAAAATTGCAGCACGGCATTCTGACAATGTCACAATAATGTTTGCTCGTTTCTCTTTCAATTTGTTCAGTAATTAAAGAAAATCGATAAATAAATCCAATTTCCTTTCAAAACATATATGGAAATATAGAATTGATTAATTTTTTAAAATTGTTGAACCTTGAATATTTTATTTCTGAAAAAAAAATTCAAATATAGTTTCTAAGCCATCTTGAAGTTTGACAGCTAAGTTTTGCGGAAATAAGATAATCTCCATTTAATAATATAGAATAGAGATAATCTCCATTTTATAGTATTAAGTTTCTTTGACATAGATATTGAATAAACCATTAAATGTGATATAAACTGTAGGTACTTATTTTGTAAAAAAATCCTATAACCTACCACGTAAAATTATTTTTAAAAATGTCAATTTTGTATCTACTTTGATACTAAATTGTTAAATATAGATAAAATTTATTAGCTATTTAAAAAAAATAATTTTTAAATAGGATAATATCATAACTGGAATATTGTCTAATAAATTTGATAATTCGATAAGGATGACAGAATGGCACTTTAAATGCAAAAAATAAAACCTGAAGTTATATTAAGGAGCAATGAACATATTTATTTAATGACAGAGCTAAATAGATTATTCTGATACTTATAGTTTTAAATGTTTGGAGTAGCCAGATTCAAATGTGAACAGATGGGATTTTCTCAGAGAAGATCAGAGAATATTTGTTCCTTGTTACAACACTTATTTATCAAATAATTTGTTGAAATAGTATAACAGATATTAAAATTCAAATCAGATGAAAATTTATAACGAAATAAATTATTGTAATTTTATTACTTTCCATTTATTAAATTTTCTCGTTAAAAATTTTCTCGTGTATGATTTAGAAATGGTTTTATAAAATAAAATTAGGCAATTAAGTGGGTAATTTTTGTTTAAATATTTATATATCTTTCCAGAACAGTAACATTTTCTTGGTTTTTTTTTTTCAACAAAACTATATTGATATGGTAAAAAATATATAAAATGCTTTGTAAATTAAATTTAATTATGTTTCTATACATTTAGAAATAAAAATAATTATAAAAATTCGCTTTAATTCTTCGTAATTTTTATTAAATTTCCTTAATGAATACAGAGTAAGCGTTAATAATTTTGAATATTGAAAAATAGGCAAAAATCCTTCATTTTTCAAGTTTAATCCTTGGAAGTTTCTTTTAAAGGTTCTAAAAAAATTAATGAGAATAATGTTATCAGAAAAATATTTTTCGTTATGATATAAGGAAAAGAATAGATCAGTATAGAGATAAAAGAACTTACAAATGATTGGTTTGATAATAAAAGACCATCCGATGACCATCTTGATCCATACGGTTGAAGATAATGGAATTGTTTGGTAAATCTTTTTGTCTGACCTTAATCACTTTGATGCCGCCCCAGGTGTGCCATGACGTCAAATTCTTGATATCTATCTTTACTTGTTTTATTTTTTTTCATTACTTTTTATATTGAAAAAAGAAAGATAATTTGTCTCCAATCTTTGCAATATTCGTTATCGAATTATATAAGTTAGAGTTTACATCGTTGAAACTTACTTTATAAGTCTCATTAAATAGAAAAATGCTTTACTCGATATGTATAATAATGCATCAAAGGTAAACCCAATTGAATTTCACCATGAATTTATTCAGTCCAATTATATTTTATCGATTTTATCTTCAAATCTGTTATCTTTTTGATAAACAAAGGAATATATTTTTTTAAACATTTAAAACTAATTTTACGGATATTACTTCATTTTTAACGATTAATTTTATAGCAATTATATTAAAGTAAACTTTTGAAAAGTTAATTTTTAATAAACTTCCCTGAAAGAGAAAATAATTTAACTTTTAATTGATTTTCTGTTAATACTACAATAATGATATTTTAATTTCACATTTTCCTATTTTATTTTATACAAGTTAAAGATAATTATATACTATTTTTACGCTATACAGATTCAAATTTTTGGATATAATTCCGATTTATATAATAATTTTACCGAAGCCATGTACAAAGCTCAAGGATTAGTTGGAATAGCTCTGTTAATCCAGGTAAGATATATTATTTTTCTAAGTTTTCAAAATTAATCATTATATATTTAAACTGTTAATTTCCATTTATCAACCACTAGATAAAACGATTAAAATTGATTTGTGAATCGTTTCAGATTAAGTTTAGTTAATGGATGGATAATCAAACGTTAAATTATCCAAATCGTAAATCTCTATTGGATTAATAGAATTTACTGCGGTTTATGGTATTATTTGTAGAATAGATTTATATGTCTAATGTAAATAAAATATTAGTTTGAAAGTTATAAGAGTTTTTTAAAAAATAATTGAAAAGCTTTCAAGTTTATTTATTTATTTATTTGTTAATGTAAATGCTAGTACACTTTCTAGTATCAAAACATTACTAAAGAAATCTTGTGAATTGTTATCATCAAATATGATCTTATGGAAAATTTACTTTTCACGAATAAAATTTTAAAAAGTTATTTAAAATTCCTGTAAAATCGAGTAGTGTTTAATGAATGAAATGTTCATTCATTTTCCTTCGATTGAAGTATGTTTGGCTTCAATGTTTAATCAATCATCAAATATGATCTTATGGAAAATTTACTTTTCACGAATAAAATTTTAAAAAGTTATTTAAAATTCCGGTAAAATCGAGTAGTGTTTAATGAATGAAATGTTCATTCATTTTCCTTCGATTGAAGTATGTTCGGCTTCAATGTTTAATCAATTAAAAAAATACTGTATTGTAGAAAATGTTTTTGAAAAATAAGATTTAATATTAAATAAAAATCAGGAAGACAATTATAATTAAAATGCACAAGTTCAGAAGAAATATTAAAATAGAGTAAAAGTGTCTTCACAATTCGTTATTTTTTACACCTCGGGATTAGAAAATGTAGTCTTATGAAGGCTACGGCGGAGTCGAACTTTATTTGGAGGCTCTCGTCCTTCTCAATATGCTAAACACACGTTAAAAATCCCTCTGGTGACGGCACAATTGTAAAATTATACAATAAATAATTTTACAATTGTACCATCACCAGAGGGATTTTTAACGTGTGTTTAGCATATTGAGAAGGACGAGAGCCTCCAAATAAAGTTCGACTCCGCCGTAGCCTTCATAAGACTACATTTTCTAATCCCGAGGTGTAAAAAATAACGAATTGTGAAGACACTTTTACCCTATTTTAATATTTCTTCTGAACTTGTGAATTTTAATAAAATTTAAAGTATCTCTAGTAAATTCGGTCCGAGAAACGAGAAGATTGTCATTTATTTACTACAAATTTATTAAAAGTATTGAATAAATAATTATTTTAATATTAAAGTTTTCGAATCTAGATTAAACTTTAGTGATCGTCTACAAAATACATATTCGTATTTTTTATCTATATTTTTATTCCAAATATTTATGATTGTACTTTACATTATCCACCAAAAAGTTACTTTAAAAAAGCTGAAAGTGTTATTATTAAGCTGTATTCAAACTGAGTTCAAGAAAACAATCAGATGTAATAATAAAAGCATCTTTATTCAATAAATGGTCAAAATTTTCCTTTAAATTTATAACGCAAAATTCGATACAAAGACACGTTTTTTTCTATTAAAAGTTTTAAACTAAGAACACTTTAAGTATGAAACATAAATTTCACTTATAAATAGCATGTGAGTTAAGTTGTTAAAAAATATCCACATTAGAAAGTATTCAGAAATCTTTCCAGAGTTTTGTCATAGATTGAATTACTAGAAGTTTTAATGGCCGATATAAAACTTTATTATCTTCTCAAAATGCAAAAGTATCAACTAAAGAGTTTTGTTAATGCATTTCGTAACAGAAGGAGCACGATAATAGTTTCCGTAAAACAGTATATAATGATGATGTCTTGATTACGAAATAAACCATCATTAATGTTCTAACGAAATAATGTAAGGACATATCTTTAATAACTAAAAAGCCTTTATCACGATAAACCAGCAAAATCTTAATAAATTGTAGACTATATTAGTAACCGCAATTTGTTAAGATAACGTTTTAAGAATGTGAGAAGCTTTTAGAATAAGAAAATAATTCTTATAAATACATTTAAAAAAATTGTATGTTCTTCTGTTTTAAATATCCTTTATAAATAAAATTTTTTACTTTAACTTAATTAATATATTTTATTGTTTATTACTTATGAGTAATTGCAGAAAAATTAAAACAATATTTAAAAAAATCGAATAATTCTAACAAAATAATTGAATCTAATCTATTTAAAATCTGCCTGAAAACTCAATTTTAAGAGAAATTATTGCTTACATAATAGGTTAATTTTACTTAATCAATACTTTTGAGAGCTGTTATCAATGTATAAAAGTATTTACAATTGATAAAATAAAAAAATTATTCACTTTTAAGCTTTGTCTTTATAAATTAAAATTTAAACAAATATAATTAATTTAAAAAGAAATAATTAATTTGTAATAGTTTTATTAAGAATTCATAATATTTATTTAAGTAATTTTATAAGCTTAAGAAGTTTATTAATTTACTTTTTATGAATATATTATTTTTCCCATTTAAAATAGCCAAGAAAAAAAATTTAAAAATAGTGAAAAATTCGAAAGAAATATTTAATATAAAATTACACGTAATCTATTTTAAAAGAAATAAGTAATTTTAGCTTTAAGTATTTTTCATGAATCGATATTTCAAGAGTTTTATGTAATTAATGGATATTGATTTTCGCATCATGATAATTATTTTATGATGATGTTAAAATGTAATATTCAGAAAGGAACGACTAATAATTACTATCAATAAGGCAAAATAAAAATAGTAGACCCGGTAAAGTAAAAAACAAAGAAAGAAAATTAGATCAGATATCGTATTAAAGTTTTTATTTTTTCTAAATTTAATATCACACTAATGATTCTCTTCAGTTTCTCCCCATCTTTTAAAATTAATAGGTTTATTATTATTAACACGTAATCTTTTAATTTTATTAACATTTTTTAAAATCTTTTATTAAAAAAATTCAATTAAATATAATTAACTATAAATGTTAATTAGGTATTACGTTTTATGGTTGTTTACAGATAGGAGAAATGACAAATATAGAACTTCGACTGCTCACCAGCCAACTACATCAAATCCTGTACAAAGGTGAGAGTCATTTGGGATTTATCAGATGGTGTGTAAAGTCCGATCTCAATTCCCATCTATGCAGTATTTGTTCTTGCTGGTCATTTAGCCAGAATAACAAAAGTTACTGCTCTTTTGAAATGTTTCTCCTGGAAACATTTAAGCAACCAACTTGTTAAATAATGGACGAAAGAACTTTCCCTTACACTGATATATGTTTGTGATGGGTTCAATTACTTTTTAAAGGAGGTGAAGAAGAATGAGTTGAGTGCTTTGGGATTTCCTATTCACTTTTGTGTTCATGAAGTAATCTGTGTTCAGCCGAAACAGAAGCGAATATAAATTGAATACGACATCGGCCGTAATGAATCATTTATGGATTAGTGATTATGGTGCGAAATGACTGATGGTTATAATTAATGTTGTTACAAACATATATGATTAAGTAAAGGCGAATGACCAAGTTGAACTATAAGGTTATATATTAAATCGATGATGGAAAATATTGGTAAATTATACTCAAATAATAAACTGGAAAGGTATTCAAAAGAAACTGTTTCTTCTCGTCGTAATAAATTAATATAAAAATAACTTTTAATGATTTGCTTACAATTTTAAATAATTTTTAATTGATTGGCAGAGTGTTAAATAAATAATTCATATTCTTTATAATAAATTTTAATTATAATTATTTTATAAGTTGTATAAAATACGCTGGATATATAAATACATTACTTCAAATAAATCAGAATACAATTTAGTGAAGTAAAAATCAGAAAATAATTTTCTTTCTAGTTTTTTTCCTTCATGTTCAAATATTTAAACCGATCAAAAAGCAAAGAACAATAATATTATGTAATAAACTTAAGTTCTAAATCAATAAATGCAGTTAAATCTACATTGAAAGTGAATTATAATTGAAATTCAATCTTTTATTCTCTTCTGTCTGTAATGCTTTAAAAATATTATTTTGTCAAACTTATATTGAAATTTAGAAATTAAACTTTTATTATTTTCTGAAAATAGTGATAAGTAGATTTTATGATCCAATAGATTCCGATTTATTTATCTTTTAAATGGGAGAATATCCAGGAAAGTACTAAGAGAAGGTCTATCTGATCGATAGAAAATTTATGTGAAAGAAAAATCGAATAGAAGGAGAATAGAAAGAAAATTGAGAAAAATAATACTTAAATGAAAACTGCAATTTTAATTTATTTATGTAAGAAGTAGACAATTTATCTGAACGTTTTCTCTTTCAATATTTATTATTTTAATATTAAATTTTAAATATATATTTTTAAAACTTGCTTAAAACATTTCTATAAATTAACTAATAAAATTACTATTCTGTAAATGTTTTCCTGGTTAAAATAAAAACTTATATATTCTATCCAATTTATCTTTAAATATTAAATTAGAAGCATGTATTTATATTCTTGAAACGAAATTTGTGATATATATATATATATATACACTTTTTCCATTGTGTGTGGTGTATATCAAACACTATATTATTCACAACAAATGCAAATTTATGGTAAAGAAAGCCTCTTAAGTGCTCCATCCCTAAGGAGAGAATGTGTTTAGGTGGTATTTGTGGTTACTTGAACCTCTGCGTATCTAAAACGTTTTGTTATAATTACAGTAGTTTCGCTTCATAAATTTCCTGAATTCTGTAGTAAAAGATTCTTAGTCACCTGACAGATTTATTATTTCGTTCCACTAATTATCGTTACTTCATTTCTCCAATACTGTCACGTTGCGTTTGCACCCGATTAGGATACACCCAATAGTCGTAAATTCTTCTCATCTAGTAACGTATTCATTGCTAACGAGCTAATAATGGAGTCAAAGAAGGGTGGAGATAGCTGCATATCTAAGATATTAAAATGTCTAGACAATGTTAATGCAGTCTACTTAAAGAAAAAAAATACACTTTTGTCCGTCGCCTTTTTTTTTTCTTTTGTTCTGACACCCTGGTTACTGTAGACTAAATTTTCGTACTGCTAACTTGCTGCTTATCAGGCGAAATTTGTATGCTATACAAGCTTGCCTTTTAAATCTATTAAAGTATAATATATTCGTGACAATTTTGTATGCTTAAAATAATTTTTTGAAAAGTTTTCTCGGCAGTAATTTATTAAACGCTTAAAATAAACAAATTAAAATAACTTTATAACAAAAATAAATGATCTAAATCACGTTTTCAGGTTATCAAAATGTGAAATTCTTCAAAATATAAGATCTAAAATTACAAAATACTAAATAATTTGCATATTTTTAATAATGTGGATTAAAAATTTATATAATAATCAATTTAATTTCCTTAAATATAAAAATATAATCGAATTAATTATTATATTTTGTCATTTTATTACAGTCTAGAATATCAATATAAAAGTTTAAAATATAATTAATTTTTTTAATATTTAAAATAGAATAATAAATTAAATGATTTATAGCTATTTTATTTATAAAAATTAACAATATGTTTTTTTTTTCAAAATTCTTAAATATAGGAAAATTAATAAATTTCATTATGCAATTTTAAGCAAAGAGCGATTTTCAAATTGATTAATTCATTATAAAGCAGTTCATTTAAAAATCCTTAAGGCATTTAGATTTAATCGTCTTATCGGTTAGAATAATGTTTGGTATAATTGAAATAATTTTCTAGACATCTATGTAATTGCTTAATGTCTTTTTGAATAAAATTTAAGAAAATTAATTTCCTTTGATATTACTATTTAATGTAAAACACATCCAATATTAAATATTCAATGAATTAATGCATCATTAGTGCATTAGTTAGTGGAATTTTCAATTTTCTATTCAAATGAATATATTATTACATCTCTCATTTTTATGAAGTTGCAAAATTCAAAACCGTCCAAACATATGCATTCGCGTTAAAATATGAAACAGTATTTAATTATACATATAAATCTAAGTTCATTTTGTCAAATAATACATCTAGCATTGAATTTGTAAACATTTTTACTATTGTATGACATAAATTCTTAATTATAAAACAAAAATATAGATATTAATTAATAAATTTCATTGAAAATTTAGTGTTCGATTATATAATATCTTAAAATATTTATTTCTGATCTATTTGCTTCTATTTGTTTAAAAAAATATGAAAGAAAAATGTTTCATTATTTATTTTTATTAAAAATAAGTATTAATTTTATAAAAATCTCGAGTTCATTATTTAAACAAGTTTATTGTTAAAGTGTAAATTTAACTTTATATATGGATACAGTTGTTATTGATCAGAATATTGATCGGTTGTGTGGTCGATTCCTCTTATCAATTGACTCGCATTTATTACAGTTAATATTTGAAATAGTATGACTTATAAATTAAATCGATTATACAATGAGTTATAATTTGAAATAATCATTTTCTAATCACTGAAACTTGCCCAGCATAAAAAATTTATAATATAATATAATATATTTTATAATAGGAAAATATATATTACATCAATTCTTTGTTAGTTTGTCGTGTTATGAAATTAATTTAGAATTAATTGCAACTACTTGAATTAATGAACGTACTAATTTGTAATTTAGAACGTTCGTAATTCAAATATAGTACAATAGTAAACTTGCCTCACTAACTCAAGATATTATAAATGATTTATATAATAAACAAACATCTTCAGGATTATTATTACAGCTTGATAATAAATCATTGTATTACGATTAAGCTTTAAAAAGTTATATCCTGCGGCGTCGTAACAATAATTTAATAATATAAAATTTTTTTACAACACGCTTTATAAAATTTTAATCCACATGGCGATAAAATAGGATCTGCTATTATAAATCATATTTTCCAAGTACTCATTTGAGAATGCTTTACTTTTACTGTGTAAATAATTAAACATGCGTATGTGAAAGTTTCTTCGTTAAGCAAGTGCATTAAATATTATTAATGAACTACGTGAGTTTAATATGCGACTCTTTCAATTTTTATAAGGTCAAAAATATTTTAGAAAATAGTTTGAAGATTTTTATAGCAAGTTTCGATTTTTGTCTATTAATTAATTTAGAATAAATATAATTAATTATTTTTTTCCGTGCCCGTTGCAGGGCAGGATGCTTTTCTAAAGTCACTCTCTGTAAAGGAATTACTGCCAGATACTGAACATTATATGACATACGAAGGATCAACAACAATGCCTGGATGTCATGAAACAGTCTCCTGGATAGTAATGAATAGACCCCTTTATATAACAAGGCAGCAGGTAAGTCCTTAAAAATGAATAAATACAAATTAGCAGAAAAGAGTGTTTCTGATTTAACCTTTAACATTATTAACTTCTAATGAGATTATAAATATTTGGCTAAACTATAAAATATTATAAATAATTTTCTGCAGTTTTAATAAATAATAGCTTCAATAAATAAATTTTAATCAAACTTTCTGGGATTAATTTAATATTTAATCATTTGGGAGAGTTTTTTTCATTACTACTAATGAAACCATTAGTTGTAATGATTGATGTAAAATTAAACAATTTAAACTTCATTCTTAAGTGTTTAAATTTTAAATTCGAAGATTATATATTGAGAAGGAAATAGGAGATTTAATTTACTTATAAAAGAATTCTCTGTAAGAGAATGTTTTATTTAACATGTCATTCTAGAAATTTATATAAATTACAGAAGTAGAACGCTTATAGTTTATACCGAATAATTATAAATATAATCATTATTACTTTATTAAATAAAAATAGTAAATTAAGTAACAAAACTCAGTAAAAAATATTGACATTAAAAATAATTCTTATTAACGATATCAGTAATTTTTAAAATTTTAATTTAAAAAAATACCAGAAAAAGTTTTTAAAAATGTAAAAATTTAAAAATAATACTTTGTAAGATACTGTAAGACTGTACACACAATATATTGTTTGTACGATACTTTACAAATGAGCTTAAACTTATATAAAACGTTTCCAATTAAAAGATTATAAATATTTAAAACTTGTTTTAATATTTTCATAAAATAGCTTCTAAAACTCCATTATCATTTTAAAATATTAATTAATTATTTATTTATTTCATGTAAAGATTTCTTAACAGATTTTAATATTAAATATATTATACTTAGGAATTTTAATTTATTTTTCATATTATTCCATAAATAATAATTTATTTGGCTGTAATTTATATAGATTACGCTAAAANTATATATATGCCGATAAAGTGTTATTTATCTTATCCGTTTCATTATTTTGAAAAAATATTAAAACAAATTTACTTTGATAAATTACTGTAGAAAATATATTTATGCTCATTTCTTTTCTTATGTTATTTTATATCTTTTTCTATTTCTGTCTTCGATTGCCATTCTTTTCTTTGTACTGTTTTATCCTTTGTGAGTAGTAAGAAGGGCAAACAGTTACTTATTGTTAGAATATTGATATTGGCCAGATTTGTGATAAGAATCGATCGACATAAATGAGGATTGAGAACCGAAATTTCGGTTCGTAATCATCATTGAAGAATTCAGAGATTTGGAGTAGATTCTTATCGTTTTACCATTCCATTAATATTCTGAATATCACAGAAATTACTGATAAATTCAATAATAATAAATAGATCTAAATTATTCTTACAAAAGTCATATATTAGAATGTACTGTACGATAATTAAATAAATCAATAACATTAAATTCTCGAATTTATTTCCTTTAAAATTAGAGACTTTGTCAATAATTATACAGTGTCAAAGCAGATGTCAATAGATTGATTAACCTGATACTATTTATACAGTATGCTTTATATAGAATAAATGAGCTCCAGCAAAGAGTAATTCAGACTGTCAAGGTATTAAGTTCTACTAAACATTGTAAATAACATTTGTAACTTTTAATAGACATGCAATATAAATTAGTTTCTAAGGTAAATTTAAGGTTACTTAAGTACATATTTCGCCATCCTTAAATAATTTCTAGATAATTTTTTTCTCACTTTATATAATATATTTTTACTGAAAATGTATATTTTGTTTGGAGCAAAATTTATTTAACAGTAAAACTGTCTTTAAAAATTTATACATTTCCTGTAATGTTTCGAAAAAAATATTCTCCAAAGTTATTGCAAAGAATCCTTAAAATAATAAATATATTTAAATATTTTTCTTGAAAATTGTATATATTTTTTACATTCCTCCATTATAATATTCGAGGCTTATTTTCCAGGGGCATCCATAAAAAGAATTGATTTCACGGTTCCTTTCATACACACAAGAAAAATGTTTTTATCTTTTGCCAAGGATTCTAAATATTTTATCATATATCGTGCTATATACGTGTATTTATTACATGATTTATAAATTATTAGTTACGTTTCTTAAAAAAAATTAAAGTAAGAATAATTTTACCGATTTCTTTAGATTAAAAATTAAAACGTATAATGGACTGTTAATAAATAGTTGTAAACAAATGGAGCATTTTTTCATTAATCACTTGTAATAAAAATTCAGCCTTGTAATTTTAAGAAAGATTTACTAGTTAAAGAACTGTTATTTATACACATCATTACAAACTGCTTTAAATAATTATGTCGCAGCATGAAATGATAATTTTGACTCTATCTTAGCGAGAATTCAGCAATTAACAAGTTCTTTTGACGCTTATATCTACGTCCGATTATTCATCTTGTCACGAAAAACATTAAAGTGCTAATTTCTTCAACCTCCACATAGTTAATTACATCGAATTAGTTCGTTTGTCATTCAACTTCTATTAACTATTCTCTCTATTCGCCGAATCAGATACTTTGAAGAAGAAATATTGCTAAAATTGCGACTGCAAACTAATAATTGAAGCCATTTAAATCTTTAAAATATTCAAATGGTTCTCTTAAAAAAGAGGAACAATTTTAACTTTTAATTTTGAGTTTGCAGTTTCTTTTTTTCCCTTTAATAAATACTTTCATTAAATAAGCCAGCAGATGATCTATTTATAACAGTTTTTCAGCGTTAAACTTTAAAGTAATGAATTAACAGAATTTCATAACGATTTCAGACATTAAACATTAGAAAATTTTGTACTTAGATTATATTCAATTTAATTAACGGTGATAAATTAATTTCAGAAATAAAATATTTCAGAAATGAAATAAAAAAAATTTCATCATTAAACATCTTATCAATAATTTATTTATTATAATGTTTTATTATTACTTGTGTAAAACTAATTAGTTGATAGTAGAACATAATAGGCTATATATGTACAATTGTTATGTTGCAACGATTGGATATAAAAAAAAATAAATAAGTTTAATAATTACTTTTCATTCATCCATCTCTAGAGTTTTGAAAAGAAAGTATTTAATTAGTTGGAATATTTAATTAACAATAATTATTTAATATCTGAATACAGAGTATAATCAATTATTTAAAACTGAATAATTAAATTTAGATCAAAAGACTTTTTCAATTTTTAATTTAAATGTGAAAAGATAAAGAGTAATGGTTTGTTTTTTTACATAGGAAATATATTTAATAAATTAAATCAATGTAAAGCAATTGCATTATATAGTTTTATTATTAAAAGTTTGAGTTTTAGCTAGTGAAATATTATATAAGAATATAAACAAAAACATCTGAGATGTATAAAATTTCGCCAAGTAAAAACTTATAATAATTTAGATGACAGTCAAATATTTTTCTTTGGAAGTTTTTCTTTGGTAAAGATAAGCTTGGCGCTTGGAAGTGATACCTACAAGATTTTTACCTATATTATTGTTTTCTACAAATCGCTTCCAAGCGCCAAACTTATCTTTACCAAAGAAAAACTACTAAGAAAAAATTTGACTGTCATCTAAATTGTCATATCTTTTAACTTGACATAATTTCTTTACATTTTAAATGTTTTTGTTTGGATATCAATTGTTTTTTGTTAATGATTGCATTGTTACATTAAGACATAAGACGATGACGTTCGGTCGGTAGCGTATGCCAACCGAACATTTTCAATATGCCGTTTAATAAAATTGTTATAAAAAGTTTTAATTGGCATAAATTTGAGGTTTTTGTTATTCTGGATAACATCTCGAATAAAAATCATTTGTCTGAGTGCAATTTTATCTTTACAAGCATAAAATTAAGCGATAAAAGTAAAATAGCTTTATGGGTAACTCCGTGAACTTTGACTTATCGATCCGAAAGTTTTGTCCGCGCCTCACTGATAACGAGAAAAGATTAAGCTTAAAATTTGACCTTACTAGACTCAGTAGTTTTTTCTTTGGGACCGGATGAAGAAAAGAAAATACAGCTTTTTTTTGACGATTTTTGCAATTTTCGATTGCTTATATTTCGGCAATTCTTTACTAGAAAATCTTGAAATTTTGCATACTAACGAAGAAAACAATTATCTTTCAAATGAGATATTCAAAATTACTTTAGGCGTTTGGAGAGCGGAGAAATAGACCCCCGAATATTCGGCACTTCTGACTCTTTACTTTCTTATAGTCAATCAGTGAAGATTTAAGTATCAGTTGAAATTAAATTCCAGAAACCATTTAGTAAAATATAGAACCTAAATTATAAGTAGAGATTTTCAATAAACTGTTAAAAAACGCAAAGATCATCTAAACAATTGGAAGATGTACTGTACTGTACTTATACTGTACTGTACAGTATTAAAAATTTAAATAAATATATGCTTATTTGTGATCACAAAAACTAAGAAAACTTAAAAAACTTATTGTTTTTGCTTTAATTAATTATTTAATTTTTATTAGGTATAAATACATATCTATTAACACCGGAGATCATTAACCTAAGTAATAAATAGAGTGTATTAATTACGATAGGCAAAATGTGTCTTTAAATGAAACTAAGTTTATCAATTTATATATAGAATTATTTAAAATCGAATAATAATAAATTTTTATCGGGATTTTTATTAAAAAAAAATCAAAGAAATAATCCGTGAAAAAACAACCGGTAAAAGTAATAAAAATGCTTGAAAGAATGGTTTTAAAATATATTTTTATAAAAATGCCGTATAAATAAAAGATAACTTTAAAATGTATATTTTTATATTTTTCTCCTCGTTAAATATATGTAAGAATTTTTAAATATTGTTGCACGATTTCTGTATTAAGTTTAACATATTAAAGTAAAATTTCTAAGCTGACTAATTTGAATTAATAGGTTTATTTATTAAATTTATTTATTATTACATTATTAACTTATTTATAACATTTTCAGTTATATGCCTTAAGGAAGTTAATGCAAGGAGATGTTGATTCACCAAAGGCCCCATTAGGTAATAATTTCCGACCAGTACAACCTGTTCATCATAGAGCCATACGAACCAATATAGAACTTAACATTCGTGAACCGGTAAAGAAATTTTTCTCCTCATTAATTTTCTACAGTATTTTTCTTAAATAATTATTTAACATATTTATATCTTCAATTCTATTCAGTTTAAATTTGCCGTATAAAATTTCGGTGACGATAATGTATTTTTATTATGTAAGTACGAGTGAAAGAAAACGAGAACAATTCAAAAAATTGCTATAGTTTAATGTTAGAATATGTTCTATATTTATTAGTAAATCTACTTAATGTATATAAAGTAATGTATTAAAATTCTAGAAAATAATAGAAATATCTTAGAATGAAAAATAATATTTCTCACACAACACTATAAAATAAATTCCAGTAAATTTTGGTATTAAAGACAATTTCTCTGACAACGAAAGAAAATTTATCTGTCTTTATTCTCAGATTATCGCAAGAAATGACATTATTTCAACACTTAAATGAAATTTGGAAGGTTTTATTATTTATAAAGCAAAGAAATAAAATAATAGAAATACCCGAATTTCATTTAAGAAAGAAAAAATAATAATAATGAGGCGCTTCAATGTTTCTGTAACTTTTATGACTTCTTCCCGTTCGAATGCAGTCTAAAAATATTACATTTTTAAAGTCATACATAATGTTTCTACGCTACAATCTTTACGTTATTATTTTTCCTTTTTTTTACTATTTTCTTTTGCTTTAATATTGGAGGAAAAAAAAATTGAACGAAAAATTTCTCGAAAGATTATCAAAATTCAGTAAATGTCCCGAAAAGTAAGTTTATTGACAACATTATTTCTCGTTTACAACCTTAAATAGCCTAACGGACATTATATTATGCACTATAGTAATTCCATATTTCTGTCGATGACAGTAAAATTGCTAAGGCGATAGTAGCAAAGTTATAGTGTTTAAATGCGTGTGCTAATGGAAAACGTGCTGCGTGTGAGCAACCACAAGCGCAAATTTCGGAGAAACACACTGCCTTGATGACTTAGTGCCAAGATTTCTAAATAATGTTTATAGACACAAATTCACCTCTTTTGTACAGCTCACTACTTATTGGGTCTATTTCTAAGAAATAAGAGTTTTCTGATGGTTATAACATGACCTATATTTCTCTTGTAAGTTATAATAGAAAACTATTTAGAAGTTTCTTTTCTGATACAGATTATAGTAGAATCGATTGGAGTAGCTGCTTTTTTTTTTATGGAACTTTGTTTCAAAGAAGGGATAATACGAGCTCCATACCTTTATGTTTCCTCTTCGCTGCACTATGAAAATGATATCAAAGCATAACAAAAAAGCATCACCGAAATGGCTTTGTGTAACGTAAGACCATACAAAAGAGACATTGAATAATACAATATTGAATGTATCTATATGCATATTAATATTTAAAAAAGGTCTTCTTTTATAAAANCCAAAGATCATTACTGAAAGAAAATAACTTGGAACAAAAGATAATATATTAATAATGTCTCTACTAGGAACCATATAACTTGTTAAATTTAAATACTGTGGCGTATGATGTCTATTTCCAAAGAGGCAATGAAGGGTTGTAAATATTTAATAATCGAAAATATATTTTCCCACGCTTTAATTTAAAGGTTACAGCTCGACAATTTTACTTTATAATGGAATTTTCTACTGTATTTTGAAGTAAAGAATTTTTAAATTTTATCATCTTTTGTCAGCGCATGTATGAAATTAAAAACAATATAAAAGTAAATTTTTCAATAAAATTTTTCATAAAAACTTGGTTTTAGTAAATACGATCACTATTAATGCGCTTACTTGTTAAAAATGCAAAGTAATGCTGTTTATTGCTTTAATACATTATCATCTTTTTTCTGGTTAAACCATTAAAAAAATAAGTTTTTCTACATCAATTATAAAAATAACTGCAGGAGAAATTATTTTATATATAGTCTAGACTAATAAATACAATTATTGCTTACAGTATTTATATTAATATTTTATAATGAAATATACTTTAAAGAAAATTAAATTTTGTTGTCGGGATAAAAGAAAATAATATTGAAGCGAAAAAATTTGAAAATTTGATATAAAAGAAGAAATAATAATTTATATATATTTTTTGTACATTAGCAAATAGAATATTTTTGACACTATATTTTCTTTCAGGGAGAAAATTGTCCTTCTATGCATAGAAAAATGTTTTATAAAGGTAAATATTTATTATAAATAATATAAATATGTATTCGAAATTTCAATAACAAGTTTTTATTTTTTTGATTTAAACAGATATCTAAAAGTAAATAGTTCAGATTTTTTATTTTATTATTTATACATCTACCTAGAAATTGGTATAACAAAAGCGTAATCATACATTGGAAATTTTTTCTTAGTAGCCTATATCAATTTTGCTATCAAATTGTTTTTTTCTATAAAGTATACCAATATCTTAGACTAACATAATACTATAGGGAACAAGAATTTTCAGAATTGATACTACATTGGTAGAAGAAACCAGCAAATAGTGTATACATAGCGTATATCCTATAAGATGTTGGACATATAAGAGAGTTTCCATGCCATACGAATTGAATGACAAGCAGCAGAAAAGACAACATAGACTTTAAAGATGGAATCGAAACCACTTTTCTATATCTGCAGTGAACGCAAAAGAGGGTTAGAAAAAAGAATAAAGTTGTTTCCGGTCACGTGATTTAAAATAAAAATCAACGTTGCAACTTGGAAAAGTTTCTCCCATTTAAACAGTTATTGCTATTTTTCCTTCATCGGTTCGGAACAAAATTGTTTTTACTAGTTGGAAAGCATACGAAAGGTTTATTAAATTCATATATTATACATTTTACCCTAAAGCATATTTGGTAATTTAAGTTTAATGCTGATATAACTTATATATATATAGATGCAGATACAGTAGTAAGCTTAAAGTAATAAACTTTAAGACAATGCCTTTATTATTATAGTCTATAAATAAATATAACTTACATAAAATAATCTTAAGACTTATTATGTTATTTGTAATTTTAATTTACTTTTATTTTTTGTTAAAAATTGAACCATGTCAGTATCTAAAAACTTGTTTTAAAAAAATTAACGGAAATTGCCGCTAAATTATTATTTTTGTTGGTTATATACGCGCATTAAAAGTGTACTCAATAACTCTTGAATATAAATGGTTGTTATTTTAAAGTGATTAAATCATGATTAAATAAATAAAGACCGTAAATTAAATTGTTTTATTGATGCTTTATTGTAAATAAATGAATAAAACTAATAACAAATTTAAATACGTTTAAATTTAATTTTAAAAAGTAATAATAAAGGTACGGTATATAATAAGAAATATTAATAATTCTAAAGAATTCAAGAAGTTGTTATAAATTCATAGTTGTAAATAAATGAGATATTAAATCCAAATTTTAATACTTGAAATTTAGTAGAGAGATGTCATCAAAAGAATGTGTCGAAGTATAAAAGAATCACGTTTAATCATCCAATGGCAATAACTGTTCGGTTCATCGAACATTTTAAAACTAAAAAAAAAAAAAAAAAACGAAAAGAAGCGGCATGTTCATCCTTCAGGCTAAATTCGCCGTGAATAACTAGAAAACTACAGTTCATTTGCATAAGAAAGAACTAGAACTAAAGAATCGTTTCTTCAATATCTCAGTTGCTTCGAGCAATCCTACTAAAGATATTCAACCGGTATTGTTAACAGCAGAATTCGGTAAAGATCTGGAAAATTGAATTTTGCTTTAATGATGAGAATTTATTGAAATGTAAATTAACAGTTATATTTCCCATCTTTATCGAAACGTAAGTTTTTATTTTCTAGAATTTTTAAATAATATGTTCTGGATATAAATGCTTACACCCGCATTATATTACTAAGGAGAAATCTCTAGAGTTTATAATAGAATAGCTACTTTGTAAAGCTAATTAAAATTAAAACAGCGAATGGACAACCTTTATTACTACAAAATATGAAAATTTTACACGTAGTCGTAAATGCAAAGAATAACATTACCAAGTTTTATAATGTATAGTAAAAGGAAAGAAAATTTTGTTTGGTAGCGTATGGGTAAATACTCCCTTTACGATCCTATTCATCAGGTTGTCTTTAAAAAGCTTTAGCACTTACGTAGATTCTAGCAACATGCTCAATCTCACTGTTAAGCAAAAGAGATTGAAGTATATATCCTCCATTATTCTACTTTGTCTTGTCTTCCAAACATCTACATCTCTACGACTCATTCTTTATCAGCCGAGCTATCTTGACGAATGATATTTTAAGCCAAAGATCATTACTGAAAGAAAATAACTTGGAACAAAAGATAATATATTAATAATGTCTCTACTAGGAACCATATAACTTGTTAAATTTAAATACTGTGGCGTATGATGTCTATTTCCAAAGAGGCAATGAAGGGTTGTAAATATTTAATAATCGAAAATATATTTTCCCACGCTTTAATTTAAAGGTTACAGCTCGACAATTTTACTTTATAATGGAATTTTCTACTGTATTTTGAAGTAAAGAATTTTTAAATTTTATCATCTTTTGTCAGCGCATGTATGAAATTAAAAACAATATAAAAGTAAATTTTTCAATAAAATTTTTCATAAAAACTTGGTTTTAGTAAATACGATCACTATTAATGCGCTTACTTGTTAAAAATGCAAAGTAATGCTGTTTATTGCTTTAATACATTATCATCTTTTTTCTGGTTAAACCATTAAAAAAATAAGTTTTTCTACATCAATTATAAAAATAACTGCAGGAGAAATTATTTTATATATAGTCTAGACTAATAAATACAATTATTGCTTACAGTATTTATATTAATATTTTATAATGAAATATACTTTAAAGAAAATTAAATTTTGTTGTCGGGATAAAAGAAAATAATATTGAAGCGAAAAAATTTGAAAATTTGATATAAAAGAAGAAATAATAATTTATATATATTTTTTGTACATTAGCAAATAGAATATTTTTGACACTATATTTTCTTTCAGGGAGAAAATTGTCCTTCTATGCATAGAAAAATGTTTTATAAAGGTAAATATTTATTATAAATAATATAAATATGTATTCGAAATTTCAATAACAAGTTTTTATTTTTTTGATTTAAACAGATATCTAAAAGTAAATAGTTCAGATTTTTTATTTTATTATTTATACATCTACCTAGAAATTGGTATAACAAAAGCGTAATCATACATTGGAAATTTTTTCTTAGTAGCCTATATCAATTTTGCTATCAAATTGTTTTTTTCTATAAAGTATACCAATATCTTAGACTAACATAATACTATAGGGAACAAGAATTTTCAGAATTGATACTACATTGGTAGAAGAAACCAGCAAATAGTGTATACATAGCGTATATCCTATAAGATGTTGGACATATAAGAGAGTTTCCATGCCATACGAATTGAATGACAAGCAGCAGAAAAGACAACATAGACTTTAAAGATGGAATCGAAACCACTTTTCTATATCTGCAGTGAACGCAAAAGAGGGTTAGAAAAAAGAATAAAGTTGTTTCCGGTCACGTGATTTAAAATAAAAATCAACGTTGCAACTTGGAAAAGTTTCTCCCATTTAAACAGTTATTGCTATTTTTCCTTCATCGGTTCGGAACAAAATTGTTTTTACTAGTTGGAAAGCATACGAAAGGTTTATTAAATTCATATATTATACATTTTACCCTAAAGCATATTTGGTAATTTAAGTTTAATGCTGATATAACTTATATATATATAGATGCAGATACAGTAGTAAGCTTAAAGTAATAAACTTTAAGACAATGCCTTTATTATTATAGTCTATAAATAAATATAACTTACATAAAATAATCTTAAGACTTATTATGTTATTTGTAATTTTATTTTATTTCTGTTTCAATTACGTTAATTATTATTATGTAAAAAACTATTAAGAAAAACAATATTTTTTATGATAATTTAAATTAATTTTAATTAAAATATTTTTTCCAGTAACGTTAATAATAAATGTTATTGAGAAAACAAAATATTAATAAAATAGGATGTAAAATTTTTTTTCTAAAAATCAAAAAAGATACAGCAATAAAAATAGAAAATTATTAAGTATAAAAATTTATTTCAGAAAAGAATATATATTGAATTTTTTGTATCTTAAATCTTTTCTTCGTAAAGGACAGTAAAATAAATATCTTCGTTCATCATTCTGAAGAGGAAAAATATTGAAGAAAAGATATATATTCGTTCGAATGAATAGCGAAAAATTAAATAATAGTAAAAAAAATAATAGAAAATTATAAGCGGTTTTTGATTTATATAATTTTATATTATTAATTAATATTTCTTATTCCTACTACTTAAGTTATCTCTGCTTATATAATATTTTTTCTGCACATTAAAAACATTTATTACAATGAAAAAATATAACCTTCGTTAAAGTAAATAGAAATCATTCCGTTTCTAAAAGTAAAGACTAGTAAGATGATATTGATGTTGTAGGTAGATAAAAGTTAGAAAAGTGATAGTGTGAAGTTTGTGACACATAAAATGACAGATGTAACTGTTCTCAGGTTAAGTCTAGATAATTTCTGGATAGTTAATTTGTATGAAAATTATATAAAAAAGTAAAAAGTGCTATAATAAAAACACTATTAAAGCAATACTTCAATAATCTGTACCATTGTTAATTTATTAGATTCTTTGCATATTAAATAAGTTTTTTACATACAACCTATTATATTTTGAAATTTGAATGCTACATTTTTCACAATATAATTTCATATTAAAGAAATATTATTTTAAGATAAGTAATTAAATTATTTCTTATCCATTACTGAATTTTGAAGCGGAAAATCAGGAGTAATACGCTTTGTTAGCATTAACCAATAAAATGAATTACTTAATAATGTTATAAGAATGCTTAAAAATAAATTATGTAAATTTAATTCAAAAAGATTCAAGTTATATTTACATATTTCATTATTAAATGTATATGAAAATAAAGATGCAAATATAAATGGCTTCAAAACAATGTGCCATAGATCTTACGTTGACGGATAAAAAGAATTTTGACTGAGAAATTTATTATGTATACAAAACTTCGTTTAGAATCTTTAAAGTAATGAAAGTCAGTCCAGTAAAATAATCCAAAAGCCGCTTATGAAACTGATGCATCATATTACTCAA